GGTTCACAGTTCTTCCTGTGCACAGTAAAGACTGGCTGGTTGGACGGTAAGCATTGTGTGTTTGGCGCTGTCACTGATGGCATGGATGTGGTGAAGAAGATCGAGGCTGTCGGCTCTCAGTCTGGCAAGACCTCCAAGCCAGTGATGATTGCAGACTGTGGCCAACTTTCGTAGAGAGGCGAGTCGCAGACTGAGGAGGCAGTAACGCAGATTACTTGCCCGACAGGCTGTGGAGGTAGCTATTCAATACGGACAAAAAGGGGAGTCCGTTTTCTGAGAGATCGAAAGCGGTACCCACGACCTGAGTTCGTTTTTTATCTCACAGCAAAGCAGTTTTCCCTTTGTTTGCGAGGGAGCATTGAGCAGTTCAGCATCAGGCAAACAGTGTCAGTTGATCGTCTGACACTACATAGTCTTCAGCAGCCAAACACGGACGAGGTTAGTGCAGACTTAGCCTAAAGCGACCATCTCAACTGATAGTCCTTTTATCTATGGATTCCCTCTTAATGACGCCTCACCAAACTATCATCCTGCTTCAGCGCCTGCTCTCGGAGGCCCCATGGTTCAGTGGACATTGAATCCACTTTCAGGACACGTGAGCATGACGAGGGAAGGTTCAGCAGGTTTCTTTCATGGCTGAAGAAGCCAAGTAGACACGTAGACTTGGCCAAGTCGAGGCTTTCGGTTCCTTCAGTCGCTGCAAAGGATCGGACCAGCGGCGTCCGCGCCCGTCCCCAGGTTCCTTTGAACGATCTGGGCGTCAAAGCCTTAGGAATGAGCGGTTTCTCACACCGTGGCCACGGCCTTTTGGGTGGAGGATTCCCTCAACGTGTGCTAGCAATAGATGTTGGACGAGGCGAGCCAGGAGAAGATGAAAGGCTTCACTTACTTGTCTCTCCGTTAGGTTGTATAATCTTGTCTTGCGAGTCAACACCAGTTCCCTTTTCTCTTTTCGGACCAAAATAACACGTCCACTGCAGCAGCAGTGGTGCTGTGTCGACGAGAGCCAGCTCTGAATCCAAGGCTGTTGCGCGGCTTTTTTCACCACCTGAAAGCTGCAAACCGAAGGGTTAGGACCTCCATGGACCTCTTTGGAAAAGCAAGAACAGGAGGTGATCAGGTGAGCCATTCGCTTCTAGCTACTCCGTTGTTTTGGGCGCCTTTGGAGTCCATCGACTAGAGGTAGTCCAAGATCATCATTAGTCTACTAGTAGCAAGAGCATCACCATTATCCATCGGACTCTGGTTGAACAAAGATCTTCCGAATCCGCCACCGAGTGAATCCACTACATGGACCACTGAGTTTGTCATATTTGATTCAGCGATTCACCTCATATTATACCCCGAGGTCATGCCAGGCAACAGCCATGTGGATCATGCCGGGGGCCTCGGGGGGGTTCGACACTGGAGGTACATGTGTGTGTATGTGTAGCAGGTTATCAGGATGCGAATGGGATTTGAGACAATGAAGCGGTGGTGTCAAGGCTTCTTGGACGACCTCTATTGGGATACAGATTGATCTGACTACTTGAGGCCATTTCACTTCGAGTGTTTATACTATCAGGTGGGAGGGATCATGTTTGGAATTCCTGCACTGGCATTGTCATGGGAAAATCCTACATAGTAGGGAGAAGCAACACATTATGATCTTCTATTTATATAATCGACCACCTACAACAGGATGTTTATCGTTGCTCATCACTATATTTCCACTGTGCGAGCTCAGGCCTGGCGCCCTTCGAAAGATGCTCACCTTCAGATGAAGGGCGGCCCTTCATCCCAGCCGACTGAGGCAGACAACAGGAGAAAGAGTAGGACCCTGCATTTTCAAGAACGAACGTGGTGATTATCCTGAGATTTCTTGTTTTTAGCATATGTTTTAATAAGGAGACCTCCCAGTTCAATCTCACAAAGCCATTGGGCCAGGCTGTTCTCACTAGTTAAAAGCTTCTTCACCACAACGAATGGCCAGACCCAGACCTGCACAATTGAAAGGAAGCACTCAAAGGAAGCATTCAGAGGAAGATACAGGGGTGCCACTTCCACCCCTCGGAGGTGGGTCGACCGTATTCTTCTGTTGCGACGTGCGACGTGCCAGGCACGTCGGCCCTCCAACCAGGCGTGTGACTGGATGTGTGTTGGTGGAAGGGAACCACCCGCACCAAGGTCAACAGCCTTACGATTTTCAGCCGACGTTTCAGAACGCACCAGGGCTATCGGCTAAATGTGGATCGTTTGCGGAGAAGCCCGATGCTCTGAAAAGCCAACGACAGATGTTTCGGACAACTCCGAGTTGGGAGGTGGAGGAATTTCCGAGTTTGGACCGAGCCATGCCAAGGTTGTGACTTGATTGAAGAAATGCTTTCGGTGACGCGAAAGAGACCATCTGGCCGCTGTTGAGACCGGTGACCGGTCCGCGTTACACCAGTGACCGGTCCGCGTTCCACCGCGACCCAGGGGGCCTTCGTCGGCTGGAGGTCCAACTGAGGCGTTGACGAAGACGCAGATTTCACCTGTACAGATCGGTCCATGGTCCATGTGTGTCAGCTTCATGGGTCCATTGGGTCCATTCATTTCAATTGATGTACTTTTTCAAGTTTTCATGCCTTGTTGGGCCTCTTTCTATTCAATGTTGACAGATCAGATCTAAGGGAAAGCGATATTTTTAGGATGAAAGATCTTGAGCTGCCGGCACCTCCGCCCGCGGTGGTGATGTGAAACAACATCTGGTGTGATCAGCAGATCTGCTCAAAGACCACGACTTGGATCCCAAAAAAGAGATTCCCAGATTGTCTCAAAAGTGTCTCAAACACCAAATTAGCTCCCAACTAGGATGGAATGGGCTTGCTCTGGGTCTCACTAGAACCTGCCTCCTACATTTGTCATACGTTTATCTCTGTATTTCTTCTACACGTTGGCGTGTTCATTGCAACTTGCAACATGGTTGCTTGTAGTTGAAGACCCGGCAGACATTCTTTCGCCACACATTTCTCAGCATCGAAGATTGCATTGCCCCAGGCTCAAGCGACACAACACATGACAAAAACAACATGACGACAAACTCTTGCGAAAGCTCGAAACATGTGATCGCAGGCTTCCTGAATTGTACTCAGGGGTCAGTTGTGAGGTTTGACATCGATTTGGGTTGAATGACCCGACCCACCAATCGCAAGGATCAAACACTGGGTTTGAAGGTCCGGTCTTTCGACTTTGCGCAATTCGCACCAAAAGTCACACCGAAGATCCGAAGGTAAGAGCCTGATCGACGACAGGCTTCACCCGAGGTCCAGGGAGGTTCCTTCCAAGCGCATGGGGCCCACTGGTCGAGAGTTCCCCAGAGCGACGACTGGACTCCACCGGTCGCCCAACGGCCGAAGACGACGCCGGTCGCGCCGCGCCCGCGGATGGAGCCACCGGGCGACGACACCGTTTCGGGTTCTTTTCGGCTGTGAAGCTCCAGTCGTGAGCTCGGAGGAGTGGTGAAGCTAACAGGAGAAGCACCGGGAGCTTCTCCCGTTTTCATCAGGATGCAGTTGTTTTACTTTTTTACACTAACAGGGCTCGGAACGGATTCCGAAATTCACTTCAGTCCGCGTTTTTCAGAGATTGGGGACTAAGATTCCAGGTGAGATCTTGAACGCTGAAGAAGCTGAAGCGATGTGATTGAAAAACGGGGTGAAACCTGAGATGAGCTGTGAGCGATTTGACTGGTACTGGTTCCACACTGCTGGTCGTTCTGTCTGAAGACTGCTCAGGCCTAGCTGTGCATCATGGGCCATCCAGTCCATGTTTGCAACGGTGCGAAAGCAGTGCTGAGAAACATCGTCTTCCATGGTTTTCACCAACCAAACACCTGGTGGCTTTTCATGTTGCGACCCAACCAAGGGCTTCTGCCGTGTCCATGTTCTGTCGTGTCCACCGGGCGGGAAACTGGACCTCCAGAACGTTTTGGAGGATTCTTTGGGTGCAGTACTTCACTTGGCGCTCAACAACCCCGTCACTTTGGGCCGTGGGCCTGTTTCGATCACCTGAGATGGTTTTCTTTTTTCTCACCCTTGAGGGGGTGTTCTGGTCTTTGGTCATTTTCATGCGCGCGGAGTGGGACGAAGTCACGGAAGTTCTGGATGAAGAACAGGAAGCAGACTTGATGACAAAGCCAGCAACAGTCGTACGAGCCAAAGCGGGAGCAGAAGCAGAACGAAAGAGCAGGACAGGGAGAAGAGACGGACACACACACACACATACTTTCTGGGTGTCAACTGCTCTTTTCATACTTGATGGTCTCCCTGTGAAGACCAGGGAGCACCCTTACCTCCTGCCAGGTAAGAATCAGCACAGTAAGGACATGCTGCACCTGAGGTGGGGACGCGACGGTGCAGTTGAAGACATCACAGAAAAGCGGGCACGTTGACGTTTGGGTTAACTTGTTGATTTGGGCATGGGATGCTCTGAAGAGGGATTCGGTATGTAGGGATTTGGGATATACCTCCTTGTCACTGTTGTAGGATGCAGGTGCCCACTGGCCTTGGGAAGGCTCTATTCTAAGGGAGTCGTGTGTTGAGTGATGTAGGGCGCATTCCCCAAGCGCCAAGCGGCAAGTTGTGAACCAGGCCAGACTATTGATCTGATTTCATCATGTGGACATCCAAGACCAGCTTGAACCGCCACGAGATGTCTGTCATTGTGGACACCGTCTTGGTCGGTGTGTTTCGCATGCGTTTGCACCAAATCGGCAGAAACCTGCTTGGTTGAGATCCGTCTTTTCCCAGCATCCCCTGCCGGCACTGCCCTAAGCTGGAGTGACAGTGGGTCGAAACCTCCCCCCCACCAAATCATGGAAGGTTGACATCCAGCAGCCTCTTCTGTTCATTGGTGGTCAGACCCCCCAGGCTGAGCCTACTCACTTCAGACTCATGTTGGGTCAGTTTGCTCCTACTCACCTCTGGCTCGTTTTGGGGGTGCTCATCCTTTGTCCGCCGGTCTCGTGGAGTGCCGCGCTTCTCAGGCCCACCGAGTGGGCCCAGGATGGTCGCGGCTTCAAGGCCCGATCGGGGCGCGTCTCGAAGGGGAGACCGGGAGAAGCCTTATTAGTTTTGATGTTAGATGTAGTCAGTAAGTATGGGATCCGAAATCCAAAAGACCTTTTGTTGGAGTTCAGTTTGGAACCTCCAGGCGTCCAAATGGACTCCCTTTTCCAAGCTGCCACTCAACTGCCGGGTGACCGAGGGGTTGCGCGGCCCCCCCAAGGGCCGTGGGAGCGAGGATGCTGTTGGAGGAAAATGATGCCAGTGGATGTACCGTACCTTTTTTTAAATCCCCTTGGAGAACCTTTTTCTGAATAGCAACAAAACCAGAGAACTCCTCTTCCATGTCAGTGATGAGTGTATGTGAATGTGTCGGCTTTTGTGCATGGGAGTTCTGTGAAGCAAGCTTGAAGGAGGATGCTCCTGTCATTCCGGCAACCTCGCAGTTTGTTCAGCAGCGCACAGGGGCGATTAATCACGGAGGTTTCTCATGTTTTTTGGGTGTTCTTTGTTCACCCCGGGCCCAAAAGTGGTTTGGCGGTGCCACAAATCAACAGACGCTTCATGTTGAACTTTCCTGGCGTTTCACTGAGGCTGCTTCCTCTCGCTGCAGCCCTTTGACAAGCCTGCCGGCATCTTAGACAATCATAGACCAGCTGCCTAGCCCGCCATATCAACTCATTCGGCGCCCAAGGCTGAGGTCTGGAGGTCTCCCAGGCACCCTGTTGAATGCCCAATGCGCTTGTCTTGACACGACCACCTCGTGTCAGACACGACCACCAGAGTTGGCGAGCGCTCGTGGGCCTAGGTCGGCACACGAGACGGCTCCGTATTTGAGATCACTCACATCTTGAAGTGAGCACCAAGTGACTATTACTCGATAATTAGGTTTGCGGATGGCTGTAATTATGGATTCCTGGGCAGTGTTGGGATTTGTACGGGGTCATGCACGATCGGCTTGGGGCCATGCTGGTTTTCTGCTGGCACTCGAGAGACTGATGGTTTTTCACCCGGTGACATCGCCCGAATTCGCAATGTGTGGATGCAGATTTCTGGGACTCTCAAGCGAAGAACTTCTGGGGCAACTTCTTCCTTTTTTGGGCTTCTCCCACCTCGAAAACTGGGCAGTGACTCTGCAGACACCGTAGATCACGTCAAGTAGATCTCGCAGAAGAGGAGTGAACCTGTCACTGGGATGCAGCATAGTACCAGGAGTTTGGAAGAGGAAGATAGGAAACATGGGATTTCCAGGCTTTCGTACGCTCTGTGACCAGCTGTAACCGCCATGTTGCCATGTGAGTTCTCATCTCAGCTGTCTGAAACAGCCATCTGATGGCCGTCGTTCGTGCAGGTACATCAAACGATATGGGGTGCACCCGGTGCATGGTGGGAAGTTGGAAGTCAAGGATCTCATCCCCCTGTCAGACGCCCAGTGAGTGCTCATGAGGAGAGCTGTGGTGCTGTGGCGAGGCAAAAAGGAGCTTCTTTTTTGGCATCGACGCTGCTTGAGGCACTTCCACAAGAATGCCCAGGGCAACTTCCACTGCCCGGTGACCTTCAAGGTGAGTCACTGATTCGGACATGAATTGGGACGAGGACCTGCTTTATGACTTGATGCATTGGGATGGCTTTTGGTCTCAAGAACTCCGCTTTTCCAGAGAAAGCGCTGAAATACACAGAACTCAGAAGCGTCAAACCACAGAAGCGATCCCAATACCAACCACCTTCTTCCACCTTCTCCGATCCGTCGATCCGTCCTCCGACCGTCCGTCGCAGGTCTTGGGGAACAACACCGCGGTGTGTGCCAACCTGGCGCGTGGAGCTCAGGTCGCCGACAAGTGAATGCGTCATGCGCATGCCGCCGCGGCGGTTTCCTCGGTGCCCACGCTGAGGAAGGGTGCACGGTTTGTCTTGAAATCGAATCTCGAATTGAAAGGGTCATGTTGGAAGGGGCAACTGGGTGCAAACACACACACACATATATATATATATATTTTACATAGAGTAGAGTCATGGTGTCATAGAGGTTCTCACTTCGGGCCTTCAGCCGTGACCATGCCCACTCTTGGTGGAAGAATGCTGGAATGGATGCGACACGCTTTGGTGGTGAGAACAGCGGCCTTCAGCTGTGACTCCTACGCGTTTTCAAGGACCAGGTCGAAGACAGTGGTCGAATCTGTACCTTGATCCGTTGCGGTTTAGCAGCCAAGGTCTGGGCATGTCTACTGTTTGGAGGCAGTGATGGAGCTCAACAAGAAGACCAAGAACTGGACGCTGGGCATATGGATTTGGGGGTTTTGATGTCGCGATATTGATCAGTGATACATCATGAAAAGCCAGAATTCAGCCCAGAACATCGTGGCACTTTGGCTACCGGCTACCCTTGATTTTTCATGTATATTTGGAGATTTTGAGAAAGTCACCAGAATTGAAGCAACATCCAAGATTTGGAGCCTGCAGTCGAGCTAAACAACCTCCTCTTAGGAAAGCCTTGAAAGCACCCTGGCAACTTGTACGAGCACAAGAGTCAGGGGAGTCCCTCCTGTTGATCCTCCACTCCTGTGAAAGAAACGACCCCCGCTTCTTTTGGTTTGGGATTTTGGAACACTTGCCAGTCTTCCGCACATCTAAGACTGGGCTTGGCCGAAACATTGGACTGATCGTTTCTTGGTGACCTCATCATAGGGTGAAAGGGTGAAACCGTCTGGGCCCAGCCTCTCAGAACCGTTGGGGAAGGGGTTTTGCGGCGCCCAGGAAGGACTTGATGACTTCTCAACCTTTCAAGTGGACCGACATTGCCTCTTGGACATCCGCGGGACGAACGTCAGCCAGACTGAGATGACGTTTCTCTTTTTTCTTGTTGTGTGCTGTTGGAAGGCTTGAAATGGAAGACTTGGTGCGACGTTGCACAGAGTTTTATAGGAGGTTTGCATCAAATCTTCCGTGAAGAATTGATCTTCATCCCTTGTTCACTGTCCTCCCTACGTCGGCGCACTTCGCCAGACGCACACACAAACACACACACACACACACCAGCCAGAGTGTGATCGAGACGGACTTATACAGCAGATCCATGGAATTCCAACCAGAGGGCCCATCTCTTTCGTGTCATCCCCTCCAAATTTTTGGAGTTTCCAAGTAGTGGGGTCCGGTTTATTAATGTGTCTGTGACGAAACTGCTGGCAGCCCCGTGCACCGTGCAGGGCCCAAAGGTGTTGCCCCATGCAACAAAAGAATCATCAGCAGCCTCAGGTGTTCAATGAGGAGCCTCCAGTGTTGAGAGTTAGGGAGTGTCCAGGATTTCATGACACTGGATTTCAGAAGGGACGGGTCCAAGGAGCTCCAAAGTCAAAACCCGTGTCGAATCGATGCATCGATCGCTCGTGAATTCCTCCTGTGTCGTTTGATGAACATAGCCCATAACGTATGAGGCACAAGAGTTCACAGTTGAAGTTAGAAAAGGTGCGATGCGGTGCATGCCATGGTTTCGTTGCTGAGTGCATTTAACATTGGTGACGCGGAGCAGTACCAGGTTTCGATCTAGGGCTGTTCTGCATGTCGACATGGCGACCTACGGTCGGTGAACGATCGGCGACCATTGGATCCCTAGGGCTTCGAGGTAGTGAACATCCGCTTGCTTGGACCTCCACACCTTCTCATTCCAGATGGGAATGGAATGACACTGACTGGGAGGAGCAGGGCTATGCAGGTGATCCGTGGAGGAGCGAAGATCCTTGGTCGCAGGCCGACAACATGGGGGTGAGCGGAAGATCCACTGATGGGTGGATGACCGATCAACAAATGAGGGGATTCAATGTTACACAAGCTCACCACACGGTAGCGGGTGCTGATGGGCGCTGGCGAGGTGGACATGCAGAAGGTGAAGGTTGGTTTGGTGGGGGCATTCCGGAACCTCATGACTGGGATTGGCCCCAGAAAGATGGTGCAAAGCCTTCTGAGAAACTCCATGTCCCCAGCTTTGATGGGAATCTGTCGATGATGATATGGGGAAGACAGCAAGGTCCTACATTCGCAAGATCCAGGTTTGGCTCCGCTGCACGAAGATGCCTGCCAATCAACGAGGCCTGGCTCTTTACAATGAGTTGACGGGCAAGGCATGGGTGTATGCGGAGGAGTTGGATGTGGACCTCTTAGCATCCGACCATGGAGTTTCTTATTTTCTTGAATGGGTGAAGGCACGGTTCATGGCCATCGAGATCACACAGGTCTCTCACATGATGGGTGATTTGTTCAAGCGCTGCCGCCGTCGAGGTGACCAATCTGTTCGCGACTTCAATGTCGAGTTTGAACGATTGGTGCTGCGCTTGAAAGAGGTTCAATGCGAGATCCCACCGTTGATCAAGGGCTGGCTGTACTTGGACAAGCTGAGGTTGAGCGAGCATGAAGAGTTGACTTTGTTGTCAAGTGTCAACAATCAATTTGATGCCAAGAGACTTCAACAAGCTGCTCTCCTACAAGACCGAGCCATCCGCAGGCCAGCTTCTTCCTCCGAAAAGGTGCCTTGGAAGGAAGGGAAACGGTGGGGAACCAAGCACTCGGTTCACATGACCGATGCGCTGGAGTCGAGTGATGAATCGGCTCCAGATGAAGAGGAGTTGGTTTCCGAAGATGTAGCATGTGAAGCTCACGAGGCATACATGACCTACCAGAGCGCAAAGTCCCGATACCGTGAAGCCTTGAAGGGTCGGGGCGCTGATGTAGATGAGATCAAGAAGAGATCTGAAGAGAGGCTGCGCCTTGCAAAACAAAGGTCTTTCTGTTCGGCATGCAAGAGGAAGGGCCATTGGCATAAAGATCCAGAATGCCCTTTGCGAGGTCGTCGGCCCGTAGATGAGAGGCAACAGGAAGCTCATGTGACGGTCCATTCGGCTCAGATGTGCACAACCGTTCATGCTTGCTATGCCATGGACAACCAAGAGACCCAGGTCACTGACTTTCTGGCGGGTGGCCTCCTTGCGATTGTGGACACAGCATGCACCAAGGCCGTTGCAGGCCATGGTTGGTTTGAGAACTTCTGTGACATGTGCGACAAGTTGGGCTTCATGGTGGAGACCTATGACCATGAAGAGTTTTTCAAGTTTGGAGCATCCAGAGTGCACACCTCTTCGTTTGGGGTGGCAGCGTGGTTTGCCATCCGAGGGCGGTGGTTCCAAGTGAGAGTGGCCATAGTTCCATGTGGAGTGCCATTGCTGTTTAGTCGCCCCATCCTGGCGGCACTAGGCATGCATTATGATTTGGCTGCTCAACGAGTTCAGTTGAGCTCTTTGGGATTGGATGACGTCCCACTGCACACGAGCCAAAGTGGCCATCCGGCTCTTTTGGTCAATGAGTACGAAGGCAAAAAGCCTCCACGAGGTCGAATCGGCCTTGGTGATGACCTCTACTTGCCGGACGAGCGAGCATACATGGATGCGCAGTCTCATGACATGGATGGCTTGAAACCCTTGTTCTACCCCAAGATCATGGCAAAAGAAGTTCAACTTATGCTTCAATCTTCTCAAACTCTTGGAGGTGCTGGTTATTTTTGCTGGTGGAAACATGCCAAATTGTCACGGGATTTTTGGATTGAGACCCACACAGAGTTCATCAGAGTTCATGTCGTGCCACGTCGGGGCCTCTTCGATCCTTCGTCATGGAAGACACAACTTGTGGGCCTCAAAGATGTTCTTTTGAAGAGATTAAATGGTAGTCGACGCACTGAAGCAATCTCATGTTTGTCGGAGGGCACGGCAGCCCATGTTTTCAGTGATGCAAACTTTGAGCATGTGAAGAACGTTTTGGAGCAACCTTGGATTGGACGCAGCCGCTTTCCCAAATTCGAAGGCCAAGTGAGCCTCATCGTGACCACGGCTGACGCCCATTCCAGTCCGTTGGATGCCATCCCTGACTCCCTCGCCATGGAACATGAAGAAAGGCCAACTGTTGGCCGAGTTGGCAGAACGGGGGGTGACAGCTCACCCGTCTTGGACGGCGCCGGAGCTTCGATCCATCCTGGTGGAGCAGAGGCAATTGGAGAAACCTGCGCCGGAAGAGGACAGGATGAAGGGATTGACCAAGATGACCCTCCAGCAGCTGGTCGAGGAGGCGAAGAAGGACAACCTCGTGCTGCCTGCGAAACCGACTCGCGGCCTGATGATGAGGCTTCTTCGAGACTCTCGGAACACGCCCGGGTGCACAGTCATGCCGTTCGGGAGGTACAAGGGCTGGATGTACAGCAAGGTGCCAGAAGGCTACATCCAATGGGCGATGAAGGAGGTGAAGGGCAACCCCAATGCTCACGAGGATCTGGTGCGCTTTGCGACTTGGGGCTCTCAGGAGCTGGAGCGCCGAGCCGAGACACCTGGCTTGCCCAAGAAGAAGGATCTGGGAAGAGATCCCGAGGCGCTGGCTGTGATTCCGCCGCCGCCGGTGAGGTCAGATCGGGATCCTTCGAGCTCCTCGGAAGCATCGTGGGGGAGAGTGACGTCGCCGGGCGGCTATGCCCGGAAGGCCGAGGTGATCGCCATCGACACCGACATCGCCGACGACCTTCTGGTGGACGAGGCCGAGACCATCCGTGCTCTGGAGAACCAGCTGGCAGCATTGAAGAAGAAGACGAATGTCAAGAAGTGAAAACTTCGGAGGGGACACATGAATTCTCTGGGGGCTCCGAGGATGAGGAGGACAAGGAAGACTACAGGGTCTTCTTGGCTGCTTTGAAGGATGAGGTAAGGTATGACATGGGCACCAACAACCACCTGGACGCCATCCACGGCATGGAAGACGTCGATCAGAAGGAGACGATGGGTGCCTGTGAGGATAAGGCATGGGCTATGCCGACCTTCAATGAAAACAGCAACGCTCAGGGGGTGGAGGAGTATAACGACGGGACCATCAACAGTCAGGACATCCATCCGGGCTCGGACGAGGACACTGACAATGAGACAACAAGTGGTTCCGCCGATGACGGCCGATCGAGGTCTCCCCTTGGGCGGAATGAGGTGAAAGCTCGTATACAGGCGGGCATGCGTGAAGAGAAAAAGATTTGAGAGTCGCTCGACAAAGAAGAAGATCATGGACACGGCTCAGCAGATCTTTGGCGTTTTGGCCACCTGTTCATTGGCTATGGGGCTGTGGACTCAAGAGGTGATGGGAGATCCTTTGTGGGATGCTTGGAGTGTCCTGCAATCTTCGCACCACGTTCCTGATGATGGTCGGGCAGACTGTCTTGAGCTATTTGCAGGCGAGGCGAACATCTCCGGAGTCTTCGCCAGTCGGCAGAAAGGAGTTTTGGAGCCCAGAGATCTGAGGTATAACCACGACCTTCGGAAGTCGTGGGCTCAGGAGGAGGTCATTGAAGAGATGTGGGAGAACAAGCCTCGCTTGGTATGGATGGCTCCACCGTGTACGGCCTGGTGTCAGTTCTCCCACCTCAACTACACGCCACAAGAACTGCGGAGGAAGAGGGCACGAGAGCAGAGCTTGGTCAGGTTCACGCATCGTGTTTTCGAGCTCCAATGTGACCTGGGAGGCATCGTGGTGGTGGAGAACCCCAGGACGAGTGCTTTGTGGAGGCAAGCTCCCCTGTGCCATGTGGTATGCCGACCAGAAGTGTGCTTTGCCGATCTGGACCTGTGCAAGTATGGCATGTCGAGCGTGGTGGATGGATCGCCTTTGAGGAAGACCATATCGCTGCTTACGAACAATACTATCTTTGCCAAAAACATCGAAGCGCGATGCGACAAGTCTCATCACCATAGACCCATTCAGGGCAAAGACACCGCAGCGTCGGCAGTCTATCCTCCTGCATTTGCTCGGGCGGTCTTCAAAGCATTTTGCCAAGCCACCAGCAAGAAGCAAATAGAGATACAGTACCCAACTCATACTGTGGCACACCATGGACCCCAACCTGGAGAAGAACCTCTCGGAGCAGATAGCATCTCCTACAAGGGCAAGGTCAAGCCCATGATTGCAGCAACGCTAAAAAGGATACACCAGAACCTCGGGCATCCACCTCAGAAAGAGCTGATCCGCCATCTTCGTCTGGCAGGAGCTTCGGATGCGGTGTTGAGGGCTGCAGAGCAAATGGTCTGTCGGACGTGTGAGAAGAGCACCAAGGCAAAGCTAGCCCGACCTGCGCACCCTGCGGTGGTCCTTGACTTCAATGAGGTCATTGCTGCTGATGTCATATGGTTTGACACCACTGAGAGCACTGGGTTGCCAGCTCTGAACATCGTGGACTTGGCATCCACTTACCAGGTGGTGGTCCCTCTTCAAGGAACTTCAGCTGAGGAGGTGGGGAGTGCTATGATCCGGGGGTGGATGAATTGGGCTGGCGCTCCCAAACATCTTTTGGTGGATTTGGATTCAGCCTTCAAAGGTCACTTCCTGCAGCTCATGAACGAGAGGAGCGTCATAGTGCGGTGCGCGGCAGCTCAAGCACATTGGCAAAATGGAGTGGCAGAACGCCATGGAGGTTCATGGAAAGAGATTTTTGCGAAGCTGGTTGAAGACCATGCGATCATGGACTATGAGGTGGAGGAAGCAGTTGCAGCAACATCGGATGCCAAAAACCAACTACGCAACCGCAGCGGGTACTCACCTCGACAGTGGGTGTTTGGATCATCGATGAGGAACACTGGTGACCTCTTTGATGGACCAGAAGAGCTCAGTTCGTTGGAGCACATCACGGTTGACGAGAAGGCCGCAAGAAGACATCAAATCAAGATGGCAGCCCGGGCAGCTTTCTTTCAGTGCCAATCCAAACAGGCACTGGACAGAGCAATTGCCCACAAGAGCAGGGTGGAGCAGAGGTCCTTTGAAGCTGGTGAGCTGGTCTACGCATTCCGGGAGTACTTGGGCAAGAAGAGGTGGCTCGGGCCGTGCACGGTCATCGGAAGAGAAGGACAGAACTATTGGCTCGCCCGCGGAGGAAGATGCTTACTGTGCGCACCTGAACATGTCAGAACGGCGCTCCACGAAGAAGTGAACGAAGGGCTTCGCATCAAGATGGCCATGCGAGAAGTGAAGCAGCTGATGGAACAAGATGAGGAAGAAGACGAGTTTGACGAGATTGACTTTGAGAGCACTCCCCAACCTCACGGAGCACAAGGAAGTGGTCCCGTGGAGATGGATGTGGAGAACGCTATTGATCCCGTTGAAGAAAGAGCTCGACAACTTCAGATAGCTGCACGAAAGGCGCACGTTCTCGATGATGTCCCGGTCAGCATCAAGAAGGCAAAGATCCACCGGCCGTTCTTGACGAAGAGGACCATCTCAGCCAAAGCCCAGGAGAAGCAGCTTGACAAGGAGTTGCCATGGCATATGATTCCTCTTGAGGAGAAGCCTCTTTACGTTGAAGCTGAAGAGAAGCAGTGGCAGGAACATCTGCAGTTCGAGGCGGTTCGGCCTTTGTCGGTGGAGGAGAGCAACGAGGTTATCGCCACCGTCCCGGCGGAGCGCATCCTGGATTGCCGATTCCTGTACGGGGACAAGAACAGGGCAAAGAGGCGCATGGACAAAGACTTGGGACCAAAAGCCAAGGCGAGGCTCTGTGTAGCAGGACAGAGAGACCCTGATTTGGGGCGCATTGAATTGTCCACAGATGCTCCCACGGTCTCGAGACATTCCATCATCTTGTCGCTGCAGCTCGCTCTGGCACGTGGGTGGAGGATTGGTGTTGGAGATATCCGTGCGGCATTCCTCAATGGCCTTGCTTCGTCTCGAGGACTGTACTTTAGACAGCCGAAGAGAGGAATCCCGTCGCTGCAGCCTGGGCAGATCATTGAAGTCTTGAAGGGAGTCTTTGGGCTCTCTACGAGCCCGAAGTTGTGGTGGATGAAGCTGTCTTCTGATTTGGTCAGCATGGAGGTGACCTACGAGGGGGAAAAGATGAAGTTCCAGCAGAATGTCTTCGACCCCTGTGTCTTCATGCTAGAGAATAAGGGCGTGACAAAGGCCTTGCTGCTGACCCACGTGGATGACATCATGCTCATGGCTGATGCGCCTTTGCTGGAGCATCTCCAAAAGATCATTGGTGCAAAGTTCCCGATTGATGATTGGGACAATGACGAATTTGAGTATGTGGGTTGCGAGTACAAGTGTGGAAGAGAGCTCATTGAGATCAACCAGGCCCTGTACTCGAGCAACCGAGTGGAGAAGGTCACCATCTTGGAGACTGACAAAGATGATCAGCCTGCCAGCGCTGAGCAGAAAGAAGAGAACAGAACAGCTATCGGGTGTCTTTCCTGGTTGGCCAAGCAGACCAGACCGGACCTACAGTTCTCTGTTTGCCAGTGCCAGAAGAAGCAGCAAATGCCCACTATTGCTGACCTCAAGAACACTAATAGAGTGGTGACCATGAGCGAATTGCACAAAGACAAGGGCTTGCGGCTCCACCGAATCGACGAGGAGAACATGTGCATTGCTGCGTTCCATGATGCCGCATGGGGCAATGTGGGCTCGGCGAAGGAGGAACCGGGAGACCAAGAATGGTATGGTGATCACACCATTGCATCGCAGCTGGCAAGCTTGATCTTGGTGGCAGATAGATCCTGCATGTCGATCGAAGGTGGCAAGTTCAGCGTGGTGGACTGGAAGAGTAAAGCTTCTTCGAGAGTGTGCCGGTCAACATTTGCTGGAGAGACGATGGCAGGATGTGAGGCATTTGAAGCAGCAGTCTTTTTGAGGAGCCTTCTCCTGTCCTTGGCCCTCGGTTTGCGTGTTGAAGAAAGCCGAGGTGGAGAATACATGCCTCTCCACCTCGTGACCGACTGTCGAAGCTTGTATGACCATGTCCATCGAGAAGGAGTTCCCCGAGCACCGAGTGAGAAAAGACTTGCCATCGACCTGGCAGGACTCAGACAGGGCCTCATGATGGAAGCCCGTCACCAGTGGAAGAAGAAGCATCCACTGCTTGAGAGACCTAGCCCGCAGGCACCTTTGAAGCCTCCGTTGCATTGGGTTCCAACCTCCGACCAGCTTGCGGATCTTTTGACAAAGCAGCTGAAGTCAAATGGATGGTGGGACACCATTTCACGAGGGCATCTTGCTTTGCCCCTGAAAGGGGTAGTGTAAGCAATCGCAGAGAGGAAGAGTTTTTAGATCAATGTCGAATCGATGCATCGATCGCTCGTGAATTCCTCCTGTGTCGTTTGATGAACATAGCCCATAACGTATGAGGCACAAGAGTTCACAGTTGAAGTTAGAAAAGGTGCGATGCGGTGCATGCCATGGTTTCGTTGCTGAGTGCATTTAACAACCCGCGACTCGGTGTTTCAATCAAGAAACCAGGGACTGGTCCCTTGGGTTGCTTGATCGCCCGAATTGTAGAAGCTTTCTTTGTTCTGAGGTCATGCTGCAAAATCCCGACCAGATCGAGGCCAAAGATTCGGAGTTCCAACCGACTCGGAGTTTCGCGGGGTTCCTTTGGAGTCTTTTTTGGGGGCTGTGGGTGTGAATGGTCGAGGTTCCATGGGTTTCAAGTTGCGCTTGTTGCTTTGATTTTTCTCTTTGGATCCGTTTTTGGTTTAAAGTTCTTCAGCTCTTCAGTTCTTCTTTGAGATCCTCGACTCAACTAAAGATCTTCCTCAGCGCCCTCATGCCTGCCCGCCCAGCGGCGCCCTCCGAGTGGTTGGTTTTGAGGTGAAGCCCACTTGGCAGGTGACAAACCCACCATATTTGCCGAAATATAGTAGTTGAGCAAGGGAGAGATACTATTTGAGATTCAACATGGCAACCTGCAGGATGGATAAGTACCGGAAGCAGGTTGCTTGAGGCAGCCTTGGCTTCTACGATCTCCTCGCAAGAGTTTTCCGTAGTATGCCTGTTGCATTTGAAAGGCTGGCCATACCGCGACTTTTCGAAAAAGAACGCAGACGCAACACACACACACACACACACACACGCGGTGGTTGATTGCCCTGGTCTCGAGCGTGTGAAGATGTGATTTTCAGGGTGGGAGATCGGACACGATTCGAAGGGGCAGAGGCTGACAGGCCAAAAGGGCTGCAAGTGCGAGAGTCCGCTGCCTTGGAGGAAGTGACATATTCTCTTTGGACTGAAGCAGTTGCAGTGGCTTTGACTGAAGCCGTTCGCGATGTGGGACTCAAACTTTGCTCGAAGGATCTCGTGTGACAGGAAGTCGGTGAGCAGATGCGAGTCGTTGGAGTACACGTGGTTGCTTTGCACTCTGTAGAGATCACCTGAGAAGCATTCGTTTACTGTACATTGGTTTCGGAGTAGACGGCACAACCCCCAAGATGTCTTTCATGTAGGGGCCCATATAGACCACCTTTTGGGGATTGTGCCATCGAGCCTCTGATGGCCAACTGTATTGAAAGTGCAGCGAAGGGAAAGCACTGCCACTGGAAGACTATGCTATAGCAGCAACTGCCACTGGAAGACTATGCTATAGCAGCAGATGGAGAGAGCATAGTCACTGGAGCTTGAGCAGCGTGTTGAGAGCCTTTGCGGAGCGGAGCTGAAAAGGCTTCGACAAGCACTTTTGCTGAGTGTCAGCTTCTAAAAGCTCTTACTGTACATAGTAGATAGATATTCTATTTGGTCATTGTGTGGGACACCTGCCGCGCTCTCTTCCCTCTCACCTCCGCACTCGTGCCACCCGGTCCAACCGCCGTCCTCCCAGGGCCGCGAAGTGTCGAAGTTCCATTTCATGGTCTCTGGCCAACAGGACACCGGACGGACTGCGATCGGAGACCGGGAGACGCCGAAAACCTTTCGGAGACCGCGATCCATCGCGATGGAGACCCCTTGTTCCAGATCCCATGAGTCAAACAGTCACTGAAAAGAAGGGTTTGCGAGGGACTGCGTCGGGGAGTCCTGCAGTGTCCTTCACCAGATGTGGGAGTCACGATACGAATGAGTACAGCTTGAAACGGCGTTCAAGCCGTCCATTCATCGGGGCCTCTCGAGGCGCTTGTCCTGTGGGGCGCTTTTGGTGGAGCATCCCGAGTTCTTCACTTGAAAGATGGTGGACCATGCTTTTTGGAACCCCTCTTTTTTGCAGAAAAAGGGTGCTCTGGTGATGATTTTCATGTGTATCAACGCATCTTGGCCCGCCGCAGGATGAAGTGGTGCGCGAAATCACGAATCCAGAGAGCAAGGCCGGCATGGGAAAGGTGGATGCAAATACAGTGGTTTCAGAGTAGATAACACTATCCCCAAAGGTGGTTTAAATGGATCTCGATCTAAAAGATATTTTTGGGGTTGTGCCATCTACTCTGAAACCACTGTATTTTGCTTCTGCCACGATTGGTACGAATCGAAGGAAAGTGGGAGGGACCACTGAAGGTGTGGGCATCAAACAGGGCCATTGATTATCACTGGCAAGTGACGTACAGTGGAATCACTCGATACAGACAGATCCTCGTTGAACGTCGCACTTTTTGCACCATTAAGCCTCATCATCAGCAGTCTTGTCAAAGTGCCGTTGCATGTTCCAAATCATTGAAGTTCTGCACACGGAAGTTCTGCACAATTGGCCAGGACTAACAGGTGCGATTCCACCGGCTTCGACTGACCCCATTTTCCCCCGCCTGTGGTAGAAATTGGTGGAACGCACCCCGCCTGTTCTGAAAAAGAACGCCCAGGTGAGCGACAAGAAAGATGAGAGTCTCCGACCCAATGCGGTGGAGAGACCCAGCTTCTCCTTTCCACACTGCCACAGTCGGCCACACCATAGTTACTGTTTTAGGTGAAGGAGGTCCCTACGCGTGCGCCTTAAAAGAAATTCTTTGAGTCTTTGAGTGTTCCCACAAGGGGTGAAGCATCCTAGGTCTTTCATCCTCTTGCTTGAATCCAGGATCGCAAGGGCTCAAGAAGTGTTTGTGCATCAGCGTATTCCACCAACTTGGATGTGCATGCGCGGCAAGCGACATGTCTGCATGCCTTTTGTTTCATCTCTTGCAAAGAGCTGCAGCTGGAGCGCTAAACAATTCCGATCCATTCAGAGGACTTGCCAACCGTGCTGCAACGGTCGCAAAGGATTTGCATCCATTGCCCTAGACGAAGTACTATCAATCTCAAACTGCGGGAGCGACGAGCCCCAATTCAAGCTGATTTAGGCCACCTCCAACAAAGGAGTAAAGGTGGAAGACATTGTGTTTCTACGAGCCATCCATCCATGTTCTACTTACTATGTTCCACTTACATGATGTTGGTTGGATAGAGGATAAGCCTGGATAAGCATGGATCCCAGTCTTGGAGGTTCCTGATGCTTAGTGTTGGGTATGCCAGCCCGTGCCTATTTCTCACAAAAGAAGGCAAGAGAGGTGCCTTTGGCCGGGCTGAAACTCCCGAGCTCAGAGCTCGCTCTCGACCCGACCGACCGGGAGCTCTCGCTCCGAGGCCGTGGACCGGATCTTCGCCGAGAAGGAGCGCCTCGCCGAGAAGAAGGCGCAGGAGGCGTGGTTTGGGGTTGGGGGAACGGCCGGTGCGGAGGGCGGTTCGGACGCCGAAGGAGGTTCCTGTTTGGAAGTGTGGAGGGAATGTTTGCAGAGGGGAGAGGATGGGAGATTTGAGGGGTAGCGCTGGTCGCGGATGCGCTGTGGGTTTGTGCCGTGCACTTCTGAGGGAGGAAAAGGATGGTTTGAACGGGACGTGGTTGAGATGGCCCCATCGAGCATTTATTTCGACCCAGGCCCACATCCATCTCCAAACGAAAAGACCTCGAATCATTCCCCAAGGTTTCTCTCAAAGAGGGGGTTGAGCCCAGCAGCAGCGAACCTCCACCCTTGGACCCGAAAGAGTTTCTCCAGGCTGCGGACCAGGCGGCGGCCAACCCCGAAGAGGCCAAGGCGCAGGAAGAGGCGGTGCCTTTGCAGAAAGAGGACAAGAGGCCATCGCTACTAGTAAACAAAAGCTTTCTTGTTACTAGTAGCAATGGCCTCCAACCTCCTAGCGATGGCGTCGCTCGCTCCACCGACCGGACGCTTCGCCGACCGAACGCTTCGCGGACGCTTCCGCCGGTTCGGAATCGGGTGGGAGACGTCGACGTCGAGTCTTTGGACGGTGAAATGGTTGAGGATTCGTGGGGGGTGTTTGCGGTGGAATGCCGTCATAAGATATATTGCCGCCCCGAAAACCGGTGACTGGCAGGGTGTGGGACATATGATGATCGGTCCACTTGAGCGACCCAGTGGAAGACTCTTCGGACCCAGTGGAAGACTCTTCGTGAGCACGTCAGTGGTTGGTTTTCCCTTAGTATCAGTCGCTTCACAGAGAAAAAGCAGTTCCAAAGATTGTGATAGAGGAGCTTGACATGCCGATCTATTTCGTGGGTCAATTGAAAGCTGTTTACAGTGTGATTTTTGGTGGAGATCCCACAATTTGGGTTGAAACAGCCTCTCTTTGCAAGGCAAAAGATGGCCAAGTGAAGGAATGATTGGGTCCTTGCGTGCGATGTGTGTTTCATGTTTGACAATCGTTGGACCAGAAATGTATATATATATAGACATACACACATACTGTGTGTATATATATATATATATATTGGGCAGGTTGTTAGGGCCTCTGGCTGGAGATCTTGATCGGCTTTGCTTTTTCATGGTTTCCTCATTTTCACTGGCGACTGCGAAACTCGGTTTAGGCCAAGACTGCGGAGGAGCAGAAACAAAAACTGAAGGAGGCAGGGCCGACCGGACGAGGGGCGCAGGCAGGGGCCATTCGGTCGGACCGGTGAACTGAGCAGATGGATTGGACCTGCAGCGGACTCCTTGTAAGGGTAGGAACACACTTCACCACTACCACTACGAGTGGACAGGCGAAACTGGGGAGAGGCGGGGCAAGGCTCGCAAGCTGAAAGCTTTTCCGACATTTCTTAAGCCGCTGCTTTGCCACTGAAGAAAGAGTTCTCTGTAGATTCAATTGTGAATGTCCTGAATGAGTGGACGGCACATCACCAGTCGCCACAACTAGTGTGCCACTTTAGTTTGGCTAGTACAATTCCGACTCAACTTTTGATGGTTTTAGGCCAAAGACTTTTTAACACAGCGGTTTGAGACCGTCCTCTCTGTGTTCGCCCTCTTAGGACCGACGGTGTTTTAGAACCCCCGGAGCAGAGGCACAGGCGAAGCGGAAGACCAATGAACGCGCGGATGCACAGAGCGGATGCTGTGGCACGGATGAAGAAGAAGCTACTGTGAGATGTGGGTCAAGACCAAACACTTCCATCTCTGGTCCATAGTCATCCATTTTCTTTGAAAGAAGCCGTGTGACTTCACTCAAGGGGTCTACGAGGGTGCCCGGGTTTGGACCAGCCCTTGGACTTGCAGATCCGAAGTCAAGCTGCCTCTGCTGTTGGTGTTGAAGAGGGCCCCAAGGATTTTTAGAGCTTCAAGTTTTGGGGTGGAAGTTCCTGTTTCAGGTGCTGAAAGGGCACTGATGAAGTGAGTGAAGTGATGGATTTGAGTCCCTACAAGAACGGCCTTCTGAAGTGTGATAGTTGGCGAGAGATGAACGTCACGTGTTTTTTGGTGAGAGACGAAGTTGCGAGCCATAAACCATGCCGATCAAACTGAGCAAGCAGAAACATATAAAATTGCATGGTCAAACCTCCTCAACTTTCTCTTTGTGGGTCTTGTGGTCCCAACAGCAACGTTCCAATATTCACCTACCAGCACATGGTTCTTGGACATCTCATAAGGAGGATTGCCTCGGGTTCCTGTATAATCTGACTTCCTGAATGTAAGTTGTGCTCTTTTCTCCCAAACAGCGCTTGGGCTAAAGCACTTGCCTCGAGGGCAATTCTTGGGAAACACATGGGCAATTAGGATAGATAGACCCTCTACCATGGGTTTTGGTCTCGTTTTAGTTTTTCTATGCCTTAGCAGAGCCCTGCTCTTGAAACACAAATCGAGCACGGACAAAAGAGCACTGCCTCTACCTTTTCCTCAGTTCTTCCAATGATGCTTTCGGACCCATGAATGCCATGGAAAGCAAACTGAAGGAAGCAACCCTACACTAGTGCAAGAGGCGGGAATACACACAATAGGCATTCTTTGAGGATGTACAGTTTCAGGCTGTGCAGGATTTCCTTTATCAACACTAGCTTCAGGGTGTTTTTGTTGCCGCAGGTGTCGCACTTGTCTAGTTGTCTCTTGACCTTTGGATGTCTAGCCCCGATGCTGCTGATCCATCTGAACCATCAACGCCACCTCAGTACGTCTGGGGCAACTTTCAGGACAGCCACTGCAGACTCTTTATGAGGTTTCTAAGTCTTTGAACGCTTTGATGTTAAGACCTGTGGGGACCGGGAGATAAAGCAAAAATCACATGACCATGAAATGACCACACCTCTATGATCCTGGTCAAGCTATGGGTTGCTTCCCATACAGAAGTCAAAGGAACAGTGAAGCACTGAGGCGAACATCTGGGGATCAGAATTTAGGACACCCTGTGAAGGACACCTGCTGTATGCATGCGAACAAGTCCACACCACTAGTACTAGGCACTCCTGCAAGCACTCGGCAAAGGGGACCTCGTATTTACGGTCCCGGTAGGGTATATAATCACTGAGAAGCTTGAAGCTTCCTGGGAGATCTGGAAGCTTCCTGTCGTGGAAAGTGAACGATCTTTCGCTAGGACTACTACCGCATCCGGAATGGTGAGGCGGAAGATCCGCGACTCTTTTGGTTGAAGGAGACCATCAGCTGGAGAGGCGGGATGGGCCAAGTTCATCCTTTTGCGGCAGCCAAGTGGCATCAATCAACCAACGCATGGTCATGCATGGTCCATCGAATTCGATCCCGTTTCACCCAGCATTTTGGTGGAGTTTGAAGGGTCAACACAAGGAGTTTGGAGGTTCTGACCCACCTGGGAGTGGTGGAAGATGAACCCGGTGGAAGACGATTTGTCTTTGCCACACACTCAGACAAGAGCCAGCTCTTCGCCAGGGAAGTCAGTCCTAGACCTGGGTTGCAACAGTGGACAGCTGACTCTGCAACTGGCCCAAGAGGGTTGCAACGATGTGCTGGGCGTCCCTCGGAAGGAGCCGGTCAAGAGAGGCCTTTCTTCTTTTTCTGGGCTGAAAAGCGTGCCACCGAGCGGGTTAAATCACGCCAAGGGAAGTTCAGGGGACAGTTCTGTTTGTTCGGTGGCAAGCGAGGTCATGATCCTGATTTTGGAGAAACTAGAGCAATTCTTCACATTCTTTCAGTATGTAACATAGAAGATGGAATAGCCCAGCAAAAGGATTGTTTTCATGAAAGATGGATCAAAACGGCAGCTTGCGATGCATGTGCGGTGTGTAAAGCGATGAAAAAAGCATTCCACAGCTCTACCGGTGGAATCCGTGACGTCCGTCCCAGACATTGTAGGCAACTCTCCATCGCGTACATCGGACTTACCGTACTTAAATAGACCATACACTTTGGAAGAAGGTAGAATATAAAAATAGATATTAATATATATATATATGTATACACAGTATATTATTGCATCAAAGGAGTAACGACCAGTGCCCAGAAAGGTCACCAAATACCCGCGGAACGAAAAAAGAACACCGTGTACCCATCAATGGTTGAACGAGGCTGACCCATGAAGCGGTGGGGAATCCACATCGGCTCTCTTCAGTCTCTACGGGCTGGCCGAAGAACGAGAAGCATATAACATATATAATTATATAACATATATACCCTTAGAAACCCAAAGAACCAGAAAGAAATACTGTAGATGTTTCCCCAGTCCCAGCCACTTCCTACGTAAAGGATCTCAAGAAAGCCATATTGGAACTTGCAACAACCATTGCGTTTCTGTTTGGGACTGGGTAGACCCAGGTGGTGTGGGTGGTGTGGGGGCACATGACGCCCCCTCCACCGGCCCAGCTGAGGTGGACATCGATCCCGCGCTGATCCTGCAAGCGAAGCGGCAGCGAGCGATGTCGCAAAGCAGCGGGGACCATCGATCCGTGGGCCGGTCGAGGCGGGGTACGACAAACTGCAACCCCCAAAAGGTGGCACTTGGATGGAGAAAGAGAGAGAGAGAGAAAACCATTTAAACGCATTCATGATCCAAAAGGAGCACCAAAGGAGATGCTTCCTTGATCCGCAAGAGTGTGGGGAACGCCGTGGATCGAACGAATGATGCCGTCTCCAGGGTTCGCTTCCTGTGCCGGGACATGATGAAGCTTCGTTTGCAGCGCTCCTACGACGTGGTGCTGCTGTTGAGCACCTCCAAGTGGCTGCACCTGCAGTGTCTGAGCTGAGTTGCGTCCTGTTCACCATCTGAAAGCTGGGTCGAAAAGAGTCCATGAATTGAAACTCCAAGGAAAGCCGCTGGACATTGAACCGTGAGATTCGTGTGCTCTTTGTGTTTTTTGGGGGTTGCAACAACTGGAGACGAGGGGGTGAGTTGCAGCTCAGGCGGCAGATTCCACATGGGTCGAAACACAGTCACATGGGTTCCAAGGGCGACTTCTCAGAAAAAGCAGTTGCTGGATGATTGATCCGATTGGAGGATGACAGGCGTGTTAGCTTAACAAATGGCTGAGTATCTATGTCAGAAGCCTTGCAAACCATGAACAGACAAGCTTGCACTCTCCAACGGTTGAGTCCTCATCTGTGAATCCAGCCTCCATTGAGGTATGGGGATGTGGGTCTGAAGCAGCTCTTCGCACGCGTGAAGCGGTGGCTGAAGCCGGAGGGGGTCTTCATTTTGGAGCCCCAGTGCTGGAAAGCCTACAAGAAGGCAGACTGCTGGAACTTTGGTCGCCATCGCTGGTTCGGGTGCCTCTTCTTTTTCTTCTTCCTTTTATTCTTCTTCTTCATTGCTACATTTGTTTAATCTTCTTCTCCTTCTCCTTCTGCTTCTGCTTCTGCTTTTTCTTCTCCTTCTGCTTCTTCTTCTTCTTCCTCTTCCTCTTCCTCTTCCTCTCCTCCTCTTCTTCTTCTTTCTTCATTTTGTAAAATTTGTTTAACATTTTTCTTCTCCTTCTCCTTCTTCTTCTTCTTGTTCCTCTTCTTTCTCTTCTTCTTCTTCTTTTTCCTCCTCTTCTTCTTCTTCCTCTTCTTTCTCTTCTTCTTCTTCTTTTTCCTCCTTTTCTTCTTCTTCTTCTTCTTGTTTCTTCATTTTTTCATTTGTTTAGCCTTTTTCTTCTCCTTCTTCTTCTTCTTCTTTTTCCTCCTCTTCTTCTTCTTCTTCTTCTTCCTCTTCTTTCTCTTCTTCTTCTGCTTCAAATTGAGCGGATTGGACCATTCGCTTGGGTTTTGGGAGGTCTTTTACGGCCAGGACGGTGAGCTGGTTGTCTTTCGGAGCTACGTGCCCCACATGTGGCGCCCGCATCCAGGGAGGTTTTGGTGAACAGACCCTCCATCCCACAGAAGGAGGTCTGACATGAGCGAAGATGGCCGAACTGAGGAATCTCACTGGAACGGAGATCACGGAATACAAGTGTTTTGACAGTGCCAGACAACCACACACACCCTCGGGGTCATGGTGAACTGTGAAGCCATCTGATCTTTATTCCCCTAGATGAATAAGAGGAGGTTTCCCAAAATGCTGCAGGGAACGCCCGTTAAATTCTCCATTGCTTTCCCCTAAGTACTACTGTTCTTTTGCAGTCACCCGCTTCCCAGTGGAATGTGATCTCCAACCAAGCTCAAAGAAGATGGTCAGGTGGCGGACGCCTGGGTGGATGTGGAAGAGACGTGGCGTTCCATTTGCCTGAGACCCACGGAATTCATCCACTTCCTCACCCAGGCGAGTTCTTCGCATGCCTGTGGTGTAGCCGCTAGCCGCTAGTAGCCTGCGTCACACGTGGGCGTGGGTTTTGGCTTCTGGACGCGCGGTGTGCCGAAACAGGAGTTCCAAGACTCGCAGTATTTTTGGAGTTGAAGCAAGGGAGCGGGCTTAGCTTACGGGCATTGGTTTTGGTATGCGTTGGCAGGCTAGAAGCCGCAGTTGGCTCAACCTGCGGGTCCCACATCCTGTGTTTGGCAGGCCGAGTCCCTGCTAAGTTGCTTACAGAGTGCTTGACCCTCCAAGAGGTTTGCCAAGACAAATTGATGGAAGCTAGCCAAGCAAGGCCACAGCTCCTCAGTTGACGGGTTTACGACTAAGCCAATCAGAGTGGGCCAATATCAGCAGCTGAAAGGACCAATCAAGATTCCAGGTCAGGGGTTGCAGGGTTCCAGTGCTCTAGGGTGACACAGTTCCGGCGTGTCGAGCCCCGTTCCAGCTTGGTCAAGTCACCAGCCCTGAAAGCAGCTGTTCCGCTGTTTCAAGCATCGTAGTTTGGGTTCTGTGAAGGAATCTGGCCACATCCTCCTCAAGTTACTTCTTTCATTCTTTCATCATAAAACCTCATCGGATCCGACGCCACACGTGTGCCCGTGTGCCTGAAACGGGAGGAGTTGAAGTTTGACCCGGAGTACCGCTGGGTCTCGGTGGGGCACCAGCTGGACTCCTTTCGGCGGACCATGTATTTCTTGTGGATCCATGGCAACAGATATGCGCGCGCGCGCGCGGAGTGTCCGGCCCGAGATGCGAGGCGGCGCCTCTTTTGGCAAGTTCTTCAGGATCCGAATCCAGGTGAAGTCCAGGGAGTCCAGAGCTGGGCAAGTCTTGAGAAAGTTTGTGGGATGGAAGACCTGAAAAGATCAGACACATCTCAGCGGTCGGCCGAATCGCAAGCAACCCGAGGAAGCCGAAAGAAGGCTGCTTGGCCATGAAGTTGGAGCGCCTCCAAGTGATCCACAACCACCATCGGATTGGCGTTCTCCCACCATAGAGCCGGGTATGGCTCACAAGAATGAGCAACCATAGAGTTGTTCCTCAATTCTGTACCACTGGGTCCTAAGATATCCTAAGATAGTACCTTAAAACTTGGAACCATAGCCACATGTTCGAAGGACAGATGGTGAACCAACCGTGTTCGAAGAACTCGATAAGAACAGACCTTTGCGGTGTGGTGCTTTAATCGGATGCACTTGGTGATGGTCAGGTCATTTGTAGAGACAAGAAATGCGTACTGGTGCCACCATCGACAGATCAAGCGTCGGCAATGCCCGCAGTCTAAGAGATCCAAACAAGTTGACGGCATTGGTTGAACGTCAACGAATGATGGAGAACAGTTACAAGTGACAAACGTCTACCAAGTTCGTTGAGCTTGAGAAGGCCTTTTTGTAGTCACCAGAACGCTCGGGTGAGACGGACTCCAAAAACAGCTGGATCTGTCGCGACAGAATCTGTATTGGGAGTGCCCAGTCGGACGCTCTCGTCGGACGCTCTCGCTTCTGTGCCCAAGCCGCTTTGAGTACCTGCGGCGCCAGCGGCCTCCAGGTGGCACTTCCAGGTGGCACTCCAGATGCCCCGTTTCCCGCGGAGGACTGGGGTTCCGAAGTCTCAGCCCTGGATGGTGCGCCAGCTTCGAGAGCGAGCCAGCTTGGTTCCGGCTTTTGCCGGGTTCTTTGTGGCAAGGCATTGCAACGGTTCGTCTTGTAGCGGCACCGTTCATCTTGTTCTAAGGTCTAGATTCGATATAAATGGTGAGAGACTTGTAGTTCATTCAAGTGCCACTGAGCATTCATTTTCTCAGGACCAAAGCTGCTTGCGCTGATGCGCGCGCGAAGGCGGCGCCGCCTTTGCTGGCAGAACCGCAAAAGAATGCGGCTGTCCCGACGGAGTTGGTGCTCTGAGACCCTTCCAGGATTGAACTGGGTGTGGGTCAAACGTCAACCCAAAGAATCACATGGCAGTCAGTATAGTTTGTTTAAGTTTGAGTTATCTCAATGACTCTCAGAACGGTTCAAAACCGGGGTCTTCCTGTTCAAGGCGTCCTGCGGAATCTCCAAACTCCACATGACTCCAGAACCCCGTCCGAAGGCATCTGAGGAAGGTCGGACGCCCGAGTGGCCGTGGGGACTAAGGCTATACCTCCAATGAGGTCGGCGCCTCCTTCACGTCCACCGCGGTGCCTCTCAAGACGCTTGGCAGAGCAGACGCGGAGCCGAACAATGGCTCGCAGGGGGAAGCAGTTGGACAGGGAAGCACCAGGTGTCAGCAGTTGGTCGCGAAGCTTCTTGTGGTTCTCTTTCGTTTCGGCATCCTTTCAGTGATCGAAAGGAACCACCAGAAATGGCCCGAAGCTGCAGTTCCAAGAAACATGAATTACAGTACTGGGCCTGGTGAAAACCAGGTGGGTGACGGGTCACATGCCACGTCCGGCCGTGGAACTTCTGTGTTGCACCCAGTCGTTTGAAACGGGAGTGGTGCAGGTCGAAGAATGAGCTGCGGAAGCTCACCGAGGAGGAAGAGTTGCAGGAGCCAGACATACAGGGTGGGCCCAGCTGGGTTGGGATCTGTAGGCAGTGGTCAATCCGGATTGACCTTTCAGGGGTGGTGGAGTGGTCATAGAGTGAGGAAGACAATCGAGAACCCCGCTTGATGCTGGGACGGTAGACTGTGGGCATCACGCAGTTCAATTACCAAGGACAGGTAATCCCCCATGTTTGAAATTCAGTCAACATGTCACATCCATTGGAAGCCTCGGAGGGTGAACGAAGGGCAACTCGTCCGAGCAACGCTGGGTCCATCCGGGTAATACCAGAGCAACTGGACCATCAGTAGTAGTCAGTAGTAGTAAGTAGTAGTAGTAGTAGTAGTAGTAGTAGTAGTAGTAGTAGTAGTAGTAGTAGTAGTAGTAGTAGTAGTAGTAGTAGTAGTAGTAGAAGTAGTAGGAGTAGTAGTAGGAGTAGGAGTAGGAGTAGGAGTAGGAGTAGGAGTAGGAGTAGGAGTAGTAGTAGGAGGAGTAGGAGTAGGAGCAGCAGCAGCAGGAGTAGTAGTAAGTAAGTAAGTAAGTAAGTAAGTAAGTAAGTAAGTAAGTAAGTAAGGAAGGAAGGAAGGAAGGAAGGAAGGAAGGAAGGAAGGAAGGAAGGAAGGAAGGAAGGAAGGAAGGAAGGAAGGAAGGAAGGAAGGAAGGAAGGAAGGAAGGAAGGAAGGAAGGAAGGAAGGAAGCAGCAAGCAAGCAAGCAAGCAAGCAAGCAAGCAAGGAAGCAAGGAAGTAAGTAAGTAGGTAGGTAAGTAGTAGTAGTCGTAGTGGTAGTAGTAGTAGTAGTAGTCGTAGTGGTAGTGGTAGTAGTAGTAGTGGTAGTAGTAGCAGCAGCAGCAGGAGTAGTAGTAGGAGTAGGAGTAGGAGTAGGAGTAGCAGTAGCAGTAGCAGTAGCAGTAGCAGTAGTAGTAGTAGTAGTAGCAGTAGTAGCAGTATTGGTAGTGGTAGTGGTGGTGGTAGAGGTAGTAGCAGTAGCAGGAGTAGCAGGAGTAGCAAGAGTAGCAGGAGCAGTAGCAGTAGCAGTAGCAGTAGGAGTAGGAGTAGGAGTAGGAGTAGGAGTAGTAGTAGTCGTCGTCGTCGTCGTCGAAGTTGCAGCGGTAGTTGTGGTGCTAGTGCGTTATTTATATTTTTTGCTTCGAGGGTGGTGAGTCAGAGTATATTTATAAACTCACTCTTGCGCCGAAGCAGTCGACATGGAAACCATACCTTTGACAAAGTGCCCCAGTACCAAGGAGAACCATGCAGACCTCCTGGGCTTGCCAGATCATGGACACGCACATATTGTCATGACCCTTGTTTGAGTCGCAGACACGTCTAGATGTTGGAGGAGAACTGAAGTTGGACCTTCCCCCATTTGTGCCGTTCATTTCTTGCCGTAGGATCTCTATGATCAGGCCTGGGATGGCGACGTCGAGCATGGGGGGGTAGATGGAAGGAGAGGACTCAACATCATTTCCTTGAACTGAAGTTTGGCCCGCCTCGTTATCAGAGTTTCTGGGACTGCATGTGGCCCCACTTCTTAGACAAATGCCCGCTCTCTTGTCGTCCCGCTCTTGAAGTCGACAAACAATCGGAGCAAGAACATCGGTTTCTTCGAAAAACAGCTCTCGGGGGACTTCTCGACGCCCACGCCTGGATACGTCAGGGTGATTTTTCACCTCCGCCAGGTTCGAAAGAAGAAGCAGAAGGGCTATGATCCTCGGCAGCGAATCGCCGTTTTCTGGATGAAGCGAGAATCGCCCGGGACATGTGGATGAGAAGGCAGCGAGGGACATGTGGTAGGTGTTTTCAGGGGCGAACGAGACACCGGAAGCGACTTCCCAGAACGTGGGTGCTCGAGTGACCATGTTTACAGACCCGTATAGGTGTGCGCAGTTGGGCTTTCGCAAGAAACGACCCGTCAGGACGCCCCCGCCCCCCCGTTGATTCAGTCGTTTCACATCTCTGGAAAGAGAGGGGGGTGGGTTCTTCATCAAGCGGATTGGGATGAGGTTCTTCGTTTGCCAAGAAGCAGACATACTTGAATAGCTTGTCAAGATTTCTTCAATATTATTCAACACCATTGAACAATCAAATCAACTATTGTCGGAGCAAGTTTGCTCATCATACTCTGATTCAACAACCTCCACATGGTGGATCTTGCGGGTGCGCTGGGTGCGCTGTGTGATTCCTCCAGTCGCTGGGTGCGTTCGCCCAAGTGCGTGCGCTGTCTTCCTGCAATCCGCGGATCTGTTCGTTGTGGGAGTGGTTTTGGGGAGGTGATGAGGTGCTGGTTTTTTGGTGGTCCTTCTGGGGTGGTTGGTGCCACAGCAACGCAATGCTGAAGCATTTTCAGTCGGCTTTTAATAGTTCTCTACAGTACTTTTGCTGAAAGAACTCCAGTCCACGAATTCACGCCCACTTCCAGTGCCTTGGGAGAAGTTTGGACCAGGTGCGAGTCGTAACGTCTTGTGGCTGCCTCAATTTGGAGATCCATTGCAACATTGTGACTTGCCTTGAAACCGAAGCGCCAAGCTGGGCGGTTCGCTAGCCAAGCTGGACAAAACGGGGAGAGGTGCTTAGGCGACATGTCGACTTCGGCGTCTCCATGGTCTCACTGATGGCAGGTGGATAGGGAGGACAAGGAGCCCAAACACGCCCTTTTTCAACTCGTTCGAGTGGGAATGAATGCCAAGCTTAGCACAGTGCACTCGGTTTGTTGATGATTTTCTATGTTGTAGTATGGAACATGATGAGTGCAAGTGCGAGCTGTTCACCAATTCCTTTCCGTCTTTTTTCACCTCGAGCTGACAGGTGACATGACATGGCTTCCGAAGCCCCTTCCATCGGGTGAGTGACACCCTACACCCGGGCTCCCGAGCCTTGTTTCACCCATAAAAAAGGGTGTGGGGGGCTTCAAGCGCGGCGTCCGAAGCTTGAGGACCAGTATATAAAACTTGGATTTTCAGACCTACTAAGACCTACCCAGGAAAAAGTGGATCAGCTTCAAGCCTTTTGTTGGCGAGTGGTTTCCCCACCTACTATGAACAGGTGGATAAATGCTTTAACCTTTATTTTGCAGGGAAGCTGAGGGAGTCAGAAGAACTCAAGCGTTTGGGAACAGCCTGGTCACAGGAGCTCAGCCGAAGGGACCGTTGGAAGGGACCCGGCAGAGGCACCAAGAACCTCCGACAACTTCCTCCGGCTCTGTGAGCGCAACTACTACGACAACACGGTGGGGGGTCAGGGGGGGGAGTGCTTGTTGCTCACACTCCTCAGGGCCAATCAACGGACCGAGGGGTTAAAGCTCCAAATGGGTGGGGGAGTGGTGTTTTTCTTGCATGCACAGGATGATGTGAGGGATGAGTGGCAGGAAACCTGCTGTGAGGGGGGGACCTGTGAGGTTTCGCCACTATGATAGATGCACATCGGTGAACTACCGAGATTGGATCAATGTTTTCTAGTGTCCATGGGTGGTGGACAGTGTGTAATCCGACACCATCCTGCGATTGACTAGAATGTTCCGCAGCGGAATTCACTTAGCGCCTTTACGGTTATAGTTGGGTGGCTGTCCAAAGCTCGACAGTATCTAAGGACCATCCATTGTTAAAGGTATGCAGCACAAATTAGGATCAACACTGCAGATGTTTGCCAGGAGTTTTACAGAAATGATAAGACAGTCGACCTGTTCTCATCAGAACTGATGACAGAACCTTTGGACAAGCTCTGAAAAGACTGTACATATAATAAGACGTATAATAAGACTTTCTTCGACGAAGTATTGGTTTCACGGGGATGGCGATGGCTGACTATAGAGACCAGCCAGCTTTTGGCGACAACACTTCGGCGGATCAGGAGTTCTTTATCACTTAGGTCGAACCGGAGGGACTGGTGCAGGTTTTTTGGGGGACTGATCCAACTGCAGATCGATCTTCCGACGCTGCCAGATCTTCCACCGGCTAATCCGAAACTTCATGTTGCAGGTGGGGGGACTTGGTAGAGCTTGCGTGGTGAAGGAGAGCTCGCTTCAAAGAAATGATGCTCTGCTATGCCATTGAGTCATTGAGCGTCATTTTCTTTCCCACACTTTTTTTTTGACAAACATGATTCATGTATAAAACGTTCATCAACGGAATCAACCTGGAGCCCCAATCACTGGGTCAACCAAGTTTCTTTGTTTTTTTACTTGCACACCTCAGTTACATTTCACCCTCATCAAACACCATACCACAGTGTATCAAGGGATGTTTTGGGGTGCGTGCGGATATTGCCCAAGTCGTGTTACCAAGGTTTACTCAAATGGAAGGTATGGAATGCAAAACCTAACACTCTGACAATTGTATTCAGTTACACTCAGTTCCCAGGTCGAACATGGTGATGGAACGGAAAGGTGGCAAAAGTCCGTGATCAATTGAATGTTGAACACATGTTTACACACATCTGCAGAGTCTCAGCGGCGGCAACTCGCGAGTGGCTGAAAGTTGTGGGGGGAACATGCAACCACCATGAATCAAACAAAGCGGATTGGACAGCTTGCTCAAAAGTTTTTTCAGCAGGTACACAGATTGGCGTCCCAATCTGCTTCACGGAATGTCCACAGCTGTCTTCGTTGGCAGCAGAACTGTGGATTCCCTGCTGCCCCCTGCTGGTGAAACTTTGGTGGACATGTGGCAGTGGAGGTCTTGAAAGGAAACCCTTGGTCCAGGGGTCGACACACACACACACAGATCCTTTGATACACTGCCCGAGCCATTTGCGAATTAGATCACTAAATTATACAATTACTTCCACACCTTTGCATTCATATCCTGTTGGTCTATGCTTTGTCGGTCTTACTCGCGTTTTACTCGTGTGGTGGAGATCCGTGAATTCACGTTTCTTAGTATTTGTAGAGTGTTCAAACTTTCATGCGACCAAAACAGTACGAACATCACTTCTCACCCCCTTTGCACCCAGTGCTACTAGGTACGGACGTGGACGGGGAGCGCGTGGATTGTCGTGTTACCAAGGTATATCCAGGCTGCCGTGACACACAGCCACATGGGTCCCACGGGTAATTTGAGTCATCCCCAAGATGCAGTTCATGCGGGGCCGATGCAGAATACGCTACCAGACATTTGCATGACCTCTTCCCGTTTGTTTGGAATGAATTTTCCTCCATCGACTCCGGAGAAACTGCGAAAGCTGTCAGGGCGGAGACCCCACGGGCACTGGCCGCGGTGGAGAGAGTGGCTTCGAAGGTGGAGAGAGCTTCGTGGTTGGGATGGGAGATACATGGAGATAGCTTGACCGCACTTGCCAGCTTGATCAGATTGAGCTGAAAAACCCAAGGAGTGGGAATTTCATGATTTGACGAGGCATCCATTGCAATCAGTGGTTTCAAGCACCTGATGTAGCTCAATGCCACACAAAATACACAAAATGCACAAAACTCAAAACTACAAAAAACTCAATGCCACTCTGTTTGGGTTTCAGCTTTCAAACAAAGATCCACCAAACTCGAGACCAGAATCGATCAACACTAACACCCGAATTGATCATCCAACCTTCAGAAATAAGGTGACACCATGATGACCCGAATTGGTCAGGTGGGAAGCCCTTCAAAGATGAGTTCGACAGCCGGTTGCTTCACCAGGGTCCTGGCGCCTCTCGGACGTGACGAGTCACATGCGGCACCCGCAGTTTGGTTCATGCGAGCGTGACAGTCACATCCAGGCACAGGCAAAGACAAAGCACGGATTCAGGGATCATGTTTTTTTAGGTGTCGAACGGGGTGAAGGAGAGGTCTTTGGGAGGCTCAAAAGACGGTGCACTTCACATACGTCGTTTTTGTACAACGTACAAACGGACACATTCGAAACCATCTACGTTTCACATAGCTATAGTGGTTTCGAACGCCTTTGGCAGAACCTGCGATGGGCACGAAATCCCGCCGTGGACCTCATGTGACACGCTGAGGTCGTCAGCATGGCAAACAGCGGGAAGAATACCAACCGGACGGGAGTGGTGAGAGCTGTCGGGAGTGGTGGGGACGCGCCCCGATCTGATGACAAGGGACGAGCCCCGATCTGATGACAAGGGTCTGCTGTTCAGCTGAAATGGTGGAAATATGTGGAAATGGTGAAGCAGTCTACCACCCTAGGAGTCCACGAGCTTGGATGACATGCGTCATCGTACGAGTGTAACAGGCTGACAGCCTGACGCGGAACGGACAGGAACCTTCCCTGCCAGAGTTGTAGCTTTTTCAGCCACGAGCCATCCACAAGTTTGGATTTAGAAGAAACAACAGCCAAGTTTAGACGGGCCTTGCCCTTGCCCTTGAGGGACATGATAGGAGCTTTCTGAGCCAAGTCCTCGAGCACATCCCACAGCAGGAGTCAATTCTTCATCTCTTTGAAATCTTGTGAGCACCTCAACAACAAGCACTCGGTGTAGGGGACTTAGTTGGCCGGCCTGATCAATGGTGATGCAACTGGCGATTGGGGTTTTGGAGCGACCCTCCCTGCATGACGCCCCTCGAGGGTTGAGTGCTTCCAAAACTTGCCACAAGACAGGCCACGAGATGAAACGGAAATCCATTGCCTTGGTGCTCAAGAATCACCATATGAAAAACTGTCAGGGCAAAAAATCCGGACTGTCAGGTTCTTCCATGCGTCTAAGACTAAGACACATGCTTCGCATGTTTCAATTTTCCATGTTCAACGGGAGGTGGTCTGAAATCGGCTTCGGTCTGAAATCGGCCGTCCTTCGGCGTGGATATCCTTTGGGGGAGGATGTTGCAGGGCTCTGGATACATCGGGAGGTCCCATGACTTGGCGGTCGCCGATGACTTGCGCCGAACATGTTTTCTGCCCATGTCTGGGTAAACCGGGTTCGTTTTTTCGTTCGGATCAAGCTAGTCTAAGTTGCAAGATGGGGAGGATCCCACGATGAACATCGTCTACTCTTAGACAGATGCTGCCCTTTTTCACTGATTCAAACACGTTCCACCTTCAACGAGGGTTTTCCTTGGCAAGCCCGGGCAGATGCACGGCCGAGGTTTGGCCGAGTGGTTGGGGGCCTCCAGATCTTGTGGAGCTCTTAGCCTTGCCCCGTTTTTTAGTATTAAACATATTTCAGAGCTCCGCCTCACAGCCGGCCAAACTGCGTGGTGGAGGGCAGATGAGGATGTTTTTGGTATAAGCCTGCCGCATTTTGCTTGTGCTGGTGGTTATGCAGTTCAGTTTGAGTGCCATCCTGACCTGAGGGGTGTGTGAATTGTTGTGGCCGTGTTCGCTACCCCGCACTGAGGGAGGTTCTCAACAACTGGGAGACCGATGCCAAAGACAAACCCGTGACGGAGATTAAGCTCATCCGCACAGAGGTGCCGCTTCGGGCAAACCGCGGTTTGAACGGTGCGCGGAGTGAACTGCGCGGAGAGTTCCGCAGCGAACTGGAAGGCCTCTCATGGCCGAACGGCAGCAGAGATGCTTTTTTGTTTGTGTGTGTGTGTGTGCAGGATGTATTCCACACCATCGCGAGCGCGCGTTGAGTCCCGCAACTACACCCTCTCCCCACTCTGGAGCGCAGCGAAATGAAAACATGTGAATGCATGCATCTAATCTAATTATTGCACCATCGGAAGTGGGAGGTCCCAGGAGGCGCGGCAAGACTCTGTGCAGCCCCCCTGATCAAACACGTGTACCATCTGGAATCGTTCCTCATCACTCATAATTACCAGCAACCGTGCCCTTGGAAAGCACTCTACCGTGGGATTTGTTGTCATTGGGGACAAGATCACCAGGCAGAGCTTCACAATTGGGAAGCTGGATAAGCTGCTTAAGCAATGCAAGAATTGGTCTCCAGTTTCCATCGGACATGCTTCCAATCCTCATTGGTGTGCATCTACTTGGAGGGCTGAGACTGATTCGTGTAGATAATTGGTTTCCACATGTAGTCAGCAATGGAGGTGGCTCACGGCCACACTGGAAATCGCGCAACATCGTCAAGAACAGGATCGACAGTTTGCTCGACCTTTTTCTGCTTGTTGGGGGATGGCTGCAGCTCCCGGCAGCTGAGCAAGAACGCGCCCGCGCGCTGCGCAATCTCGACATCTTCGTCTTTGATCTGCGTGGAGCCAACTTGTTTGTTGCATGTAGGCATTGCTTGTAGCTTGGCCATTCAATATTCGTCAATGACGCTCAGAAAAGCAAATCTTTGGCAGGCGACATTGTCCCACGAGCTTACCCTCAGGCCCAGCCCCCATTTGTTGATCTTGCTTGCGCCGCCAATACCTTTACTGTACGTAACTCCGTGCAGCCTTTCCCGTTGTCTATGCCTGGACCGGTTTTGGTGGTCAAAGTTTTTTGGTGGAGCCAGGCGCCAGGGAAGCCATGTCTTTTGGTGGTCCAAAAGGAGATCGGAGCGGCTTTACGTCGGTGCTCTGATTTCGTGGCAGGTGCCGTAGACTGCGACTTTTGGACATGTGGCTCGTTTTCAGGAATCGGAGGAAGTCGAAGTCTCGAGCGAAAGCTGCGTTCTGGCATCTCTTGCTGTGAATCGCCTTGGCAGGGCTGTGCGATGTGAATCTTGATGTGCAGATTTCGTGGCAGGCATCGTGCTTTGTGGACCTTGAAGTGCAGATTTTGCCTTGTGCACCCACACACGATCATCACCTATCACCGCCATCATCACCACCATCACCTTTCTCTGGAGCCCAATGCATCTAGATCTCTGGGCCTTCAGAGTTTGGGGCCTATTATTTGCACAAATTGACAGACTGCGGTAGCAGATTTCTTGAGGAGCACAACGTCTCCGCCCACGGTCAACGGGAACACTGCGTCGGGCGCCCACTTCACTATAAAGGAGTTTTCTTTGCATTCGGGTTGCCAAAAGTGGCTTCTTTGATCATGGAGACATTCTGAGCCTAACCCGCGCTAATGCTGTTCCGAAGGCATGATCCGATATATAAACTATGTTTCCAGCCCTCACCAATGAGTGGCCTGCCTTGACCGGCCAAACATCAAAAAAGGAGGCTGCGGCTATGGGCGAGGTAGCGCTTACACTGACAACGTTTAATCGGTCTTGATTCGAGCTGTTTCCGATCCCACCCCAAATTCGTCGCACAAATGTTTTTCGTTCGCACTTCTGTGTCGGATCCGGCCCCAACATACTCTGGCTTTTGGCGCTGATAGTTTTGTGTCTGACCCATCCCCAAATCCATCACAAATGGTTTTGGCGTTGATCGTTTTGCGCTCGATCTGGCCCAACATCGTCACATGTAATAGGTTTCTGTTTGATCTGGCCACGCATCCGCCGCACATGGTTTTGATGTTGGTGGCTTGGGCATTGAACTTGAAATTTGACTTGAAAACAACGACTGCAAATCGAACATTGTAAAACTGAATTTCAATTTTACATTAGACAAACTTAAGCAACATGGGAATCTGGAAAACCGAATTGTGAAAACTGGAAGTGTGAATTGCTGAATATTTTGGATTCTTTAATTCCAATTTGCCATTTGGAAATTTCAAGTCAACAATTGGAATCTGGAAAAATGCTAAACAAAGCAGACTTGAAATTCGATTATATATTGGACATAAGGTATTGAACACTTTGCGCAATTCCAAGGCAACCCCCACCTCTCAAGCCGGATACTTGAGCCAACCCCAATCCCTTAAGCAACACCCAGTCCTTGAAACCAACATGAAGGGCCGGTCCGCCAAGCAACCCCCAGATGCTTCAGTGACCCCCAGGCCCTTAAGCAACGAGCCAACCTCACTTTTTTGAGCAACCCCGGTTCCCTGAAAGCAACCCAAAGGGCTCAGACCCCGCCTTTGTCAGGCCACTATGATGGAATAACCACCAGGGTTGTGTACTGTAGAGTCGGGCAGAGTGGGGGGGGGGTGGCCAAACATTTGTGAAGAAGAGAGTCGGCAGGTTTTCAAGAATCCCTTTAAAGAGATCACGGAGGAGATGGCGAAACCCAAGGTGGAGAAGGCCGAATCGGCGATTCTGGGCAGATTCTTTTTGTTGAACACGGTGTCAAAGGCTTTTCAAAAGGAATTGTTGGGATCAATGATAAGAGATTGTAGAGTCAGTGGAGGAAGAGGGCTGGCGACCGGGGACTTTGTTTCCTCTCTTTTTTGGTTATACCTACAGTACCTAACTGCTCGGTTGGAAAGCAATTGGCGGGCATCAGGTGGATGGTGATACTGATGTCGACTTAGATGTTGACGTTTCTGTTATGCAGTGAATGATGATCACCGGCAGAGTACACCATTAGCTTTCTCTTGGCCATCTTCGGTAGCTGCTTCCCCGAACAGACAGCTACCTGGAGTCTTCGAGTCGTTTCAGAAACACGCCAGTCCCGGTCGGTAGCAGGTGGAAGGCTTGTTCTTCTCGCTGATCTCCCTTGATATACAGGCTTAGAGGGGATCTGCCCCACAAAATTTGATCTGAACCACATGCACACACACACACACATGTTTGTATTAGCCACACATTCGGAGGTTGCAGCCACTGGGTGTTAATCTACTTTGCCCTCTGTGGCCTCGGTTTCTGATGGACAAGCCACCATGAGTTCCAAATCAACAGTGAAGAAGATAGCATCCAACGTGGATTTCTATGAGTCGATTACCCAGATTCTTTGGACCTAAAGTCGGGCCCTGGCTGCCACGGTCACCTTCACCTTTTCCTCCACTTTGGGGGAGTGAAACTGTTGTCACGGCACGGTGGACCATTTTCACCCCCAAAAGGTCTGGGTCAAAAGCAATCAACAGGTGACCTGGTGGCCCAGTGATTTGCACTTCGACTTGAGAAGTCAGAAGTGGTCTTCAAAAATGCATGCTTCGCCACTTTTGCTCATCGCAGTTGGTCCTGGTTTGGTTGAAGTTGGACAGGGACTCGATTCGAGCTCTGGGAGTTGACTGTGGGGGAGCAAATGGCTGTTTAACAGCGAAAGGGGGCCGTTCAGATCAGCGACCTTTGAGTCAAGTCATGAATACCCATTCTCCGGGGCAAAACTTTGAGAGATCGTTGCTTGGACCACGTGCATCGAAACTTGGTATCACCGTGCGCCGTGCTCTTCGTGCAGCATGTGCCAGGTGGTGGACCCTGTAGCTACCTGGTTTAGCAACCGGGCGTCATGTGGACAAGTGGATAATGTCCAAGAACTTCTTTTCCGGGAGACCGTTTTCCCCTGAAAATGTTGCTCTCGCGGGGTTCGCGGGTAAACTGATGTTTTCCACGTTAGCTTATAGTCAGGAAGCTCAAGAGAGAACAGCTCCCCCAAGCTTCATCCAGAACAAATTGGACCTTTTCCAAGCAAAGAAGGTCGCGGCAGGGTCGATGGTGCTCATTTTTGGTGGACAGGTCTTCTTCATCTCCAGCCGCATGGCCACCTGGACCACGAAATGAATAGGCATTCAACCAGAGGACTCCAGGAGAGATGTCACTGACTTAGCTAGGTCGCATACACTTGAAGGACATATCCTCAAAACAGCTTGGATCACTGTGCACAATGGACCCGTCGTCATCAGTGGACCGGTGGATTTCGCCTCCGAACCACGCGCGTCCTCGTCGTCGACGTCGTCCCCCGCCGTTTCGCGGCGGCACCAAGGCAATCGCCGGGATCCCATGCAAGAGCACAAGAACCGGAACTCCACACAGGCAAGGCATGTTTGGTCCATATGTGTCAGCAGCCCCAAGGAGCCTTTAAGTAACAGCTCTGAGGTTGAAATGCGCCAAACCTGCAGTGATTGGCCGGAAAAACCCAGCAATTGGCCCCCCCTTTTGGCAGCAGCTGGCGTCCTTACCCTGGCGGTTTGGATCGAGTGAACTACTTTAAATCATCAGACCCCAGAGCCACAGCAATCTCATCTCACTTGTGAATGCGGTCGAGACCATCAGCAACATCGTCTCTAAAAGGATCTGCCTAGAGCCCGACTAGGTCAACCAAGGTATCCTGGTTTGACCCACAGCTATGTCTTTTGCTTGTTTCGGGTTTTGGATACAAAAGTTTACCTGTCGACAACATGCACATGATGTACCCGCAAATGATGTGCCCTTGTTGAAAGAAGATCCACACCTGGTACGACCCCATATCCACTTATGAGAACCAAAACACGTCTTCAGCGCACCTGTCGCATGGCGCCTCTTCCTTCGTGTAACTTAACCTTTCATCCATTCAAAAACCTTCTGGAACCTCATGCGTCTCATGCGCACCAGGGGGACATGAACCCCAGAAGCGGGACTCACTGTGCCCGGCAGTGTCGAGCGGCTCGACGATCTGTCATTTGATTCTGAAGTATCCTGAAGTTGTGTATATAATGTAGAATTCACAGAATAAGTCTTGTAGGTGCTTTCATCCAACACTGGCTGATGATGGCTACCTAGATGGGCCCCAAACAGATAAACAACTACAGTAAGGACGAGCTTCTTTGCGGCCTTTTATCATCCAGTGAGTAAGGAGGGTTGTTAGTCCCTTGACCCCAAAAAGCAAATCCGTTCATCCAAGTAGCATCGCTACTAGGAGCAAGGACGCTACTACAGTAGGGGCTCCTGGCCTTACTACTAGGAACAAGGACGCTACTAGGGGC